AACCTAGCAGTCTTGCTCAGAAAGCCCACAGGGATAACTCGTCTAAGAAATAAGGATTCCAAGTGGACCCATTGACCTTCAAGTTCTTAGTTAGGGTATATTGTCGGATAGTGTGAAAGAGGAACTTTTCTCTGAATCAAATTCTCACCTCAATTCAGAATACTTCACGTTGACACATCATTGAAAAATGGCCCATTTCCTGTGTGCTGGCAGCTCACATCTTTTGAGCATATAACAAAGGAAAATCACCTGAGAAATGTTTAACCTTGACGTTTTCTATGGTTTAATACCTTACAATTCCACAGTGTATATAATGCCTCTTGAGATTACACTCCTGCCACTTTGCCACCAGGAAAGGTTACCCAGTAATATATAAGGTGCAAATGATTGAAATTTTGATCCCGTGCAGGATTTGGAGATGGAATTCATTCTTAAAGGCAGAACGAATGGTAGAAACAGAGCAATGAAGGTAGAAACAATTTGATGAGAGGGCAACAGTGCCCCAGTATCCCCAGTCACATTCGCTGACGCTAATTGATTGAATTTGCCTTAGCTGTAAGTAAAGTGAACAGCAAAACTAAATGTAAGATGAATAAAACGGAGTCCTTATAAAACGGACATTTGGATCGAGCACACTTCTTAGTGATTTTATAACCACCCATTCATTCATTAATTCTTCCGTATGATTGCTGCCTTTGGCGCAACTGTTTTTTTTAACGTCCTCAGCTATCCAGGAAAATGTGTAGGTACTCAGCAAGCATCAATTTTCAAGGCTCTTGTCCACACCAAAAAACACCATTCACATTCTAGCACCTCTATCTATCTCTCTGATTATTTCCTGCCCCGAAATAAAATTGTTCACTCACTCCATGGCTGTTTGTGGGTCATTGCTGTGCGCGACTGGCTGTTGCATTTCACCCACAAAGTATACACAGTCAATATACTTTACATGTGTGCTGTGAAGCTCTTTGAGAGGTCACAATTATGTGATAAGGCGTTATATCAAATACAAGTGTTATTATCATTATACTACATGCTTAATCTTTGGAACTCCCTTCCTCTGACACTCCATCTCGCACCATCTCTGTCTGTCTTAAAACCAACTTCTTCGACTGCAACTTTGGACACCTCTCCTTTTCCTCTCCTCCCCTCTCCCATGCTCTGCGCCCTACCTCATTTGTAAAGCGCTCTGAGGCATTATTCCACATTAAAAAAACAATATACAAGTGCAAGCTTGAAACAAAATTGATTTACCAGCGTGAATCATGCCATATTCTTCAAAAGACAAAATTGTCATGCTATTGCCCTCGCTGGAAAGGAAAAGACGTTTCAATGATGAGACGTTTACATTCGGTTATAAAGGGATTCAAGAGCGAGATAAATAGCTAATATGATGAATAATGCAGATTGAACAAAGTAATGAAAGTAAGTGAATGGACAGTTGTTTATCATCAAAGCTTATCTGGTTTCAGAAAAAAAATGCTGTTTTTTAATATTAATTTTAAATTTGCATTTAATACACAGCGGGAAGAGCATAATTCAGATAATTTCAAATTATAATGTTCTTTTGGGAATGTTGAACAGTACACCTCTAAGCACTTATTTTTAATATCTGCAAATAAAGCAACAGGTAGTATCACCGAGCTCATTACATGGCTTCCATTATTGAGCCGTGAACAACCAATTCATACAACTATTTATAGTTGAGCAATTCAAGAACATTGTGATGAATATGTGTTTAATGTGTGGCGTGGGATGATCTGAAGCATCACTACATGGTGCCAGTGCAGAAGGAAGAAGCTGATACCACAAGCTCTAAATTTGAAGCTCTGTTCACATTTAATACAGAAATGTTAGTTAATTTGATGAGGGGAGCTTTTGGTGTCTCAACAGTGCTGTGAAATTTGTTGCTGCTTGCCTTGGCTTGCATCAGATTCAATTTTGAAAACCTTTTCATATGACTATGAAACAAGTTCATAATACCAGTCCACAACATCTGCCCTCTGGGAATGAAACTTGTGTCTGCCACAAAGCAATTTTCCATGATGTATTTTAACGTTGTAGATCTAGTTCTGAAGATCACAAGATTGCTTTGGATGAAGAAAGCCCTTAGGCCTATCTGATCTCATCCTTCCAGAATACCGACCCTATCATCCTTTCATCACAGCTTTGAGCAGTTTATTAAATGAGTTAGTGTTATGATCTCAACCACCCTTAATAGCAACCTGTTCCAATCATTAACTACCCTCCAAGTGAACAATACAGGACTTCAAGCAATAGTTGTTGCATATGCAGCCACCATTTTGCTTCGCCCACAAAATATGCAGGCAATTCACTTTGCAATATATTCTGTAAAGCGCTTTGACTTGATAAGGAGCAGTATCAAATGCAAGGATTAATATTATTATTTATTGGACCATTAATGGAGAGCAAAATATATTGGATTTATTTTGCTCTCCATTAATCCAACTCAAGTCCAAACCACTGCACTGCAGCTCTCAGACCAATGGAGACAATAATCTATCGGAATTCAAAGCTAGAATCTCTGGTATTCAATAGTTAACATTTCATGGACATCAACAAAACATTACCAGAGGAGAGAACAGCAATAAATAAACTAATCCTAACTCTAACTCTAAATTCCATAACACAATCCTATCAAGCAAAATTAAGTAACGTTAAACATCCAGAACAATAAAGCAGTCAATTAAAATTTCAATTAACATTGCAAACTCCAGGCACAATGCAATAAAATGATGATCCACAGTGCCACCTGAGTCAGATGATTGTAGATTCAAAAACAGAAGATTGTAGGTTCAACCTCACTTTGGCACATTGGACTCACAAATGTCTAACCTTGCGTTCCAATGCAGTGTTTTCGGTGAACTGCATTGTCACTGGTGTTGCTCTTCGGAAGAGAAGTTAATCCGAGGTCCCATCTCGGTTGACGTTAAAGTTCCCATGGCACTATTCCAAAAAAGAAAGGATTATCTCCCCATGCCCTGGCCAACAATCCCCCAGATAAAATTGATCATTCACTTCACGGCTGTTTGTGGGACATTACTGTGCACAAACTGGTTGCCTCCTTCACTTACCAAACATCAGTCTACAAAATTCACCAAAATGCCAAATCCACCACTTTATAATATATCCTGTGAAGTGCTTTCAGATGTTATCCTGATGTGAAAGGCACTATATCAAATGCAAGGATAGTGTATTATTAAAATGCACTTTGATACTTTCTGTTTTGTGGCTTGACTTCCATTCATCAGTGACTGGACTTATTTTTTGCTGTCACCACATTTTAGCTAAGAAGGAACATTGATTCGAACCTATGGGTGGTTTACAGTTGAAGGTGTGGGAGGCTGTTGTAACAAACAGAAACTGACTAATTTGATGCACATGAATTACATTTCTTAACTGGCATAATGTGGTTGATTTCCCCCTTCGCAGTCATACCGCAATCTAAGATCTACTGAATGCACACTGAACGTAATCAGATACGCTTAACATTGCTCACATCAAGCTTCACGGGGCTGCGTTATTTATTTAGAACAATGCAGTGAAGAGATTTCAATTACAATTGTTGATGTTTGTTTTGAAACTCTTTAGTTTCTATTTAAATCAATGTTGTGTGAAGGTACCGTCTAAATGCTGTCAAGCACTAAGTAAAAAATTGATCGTAAGCATTCGTCAACAAAGTGCACAGTCGCTAGCTAGGCTTTACAGTAAATCCCATGAAAATCTCTGAGACATCCCTTGATGTGAAAGGCGTTGTATTAAATGCAAGGATTATTTATTATAATTTACTGAATGCTGTTGTCAGTAAGCAAATTGAAAATGCGGAACTTGACAGGTTACAGGAAAATGGTAATAAGTTGGCAGCAGGGAGGAGAATAAGAGGATGCAGATAACAGTGCCCCTATTGCAGAAACTCTTTGAATGTTCTAATCAATCAGTGGATACGATGTGCTCAGAGCCCTTTGCAATTGTAATACCATTTGATTATGTTTTGATGAAATGTTCTATTCAAAGTGTAAAATATAGTCCATTTAAAACCCAATGGTGAAAACCTGCTGAGATCTCTCTTTCGCTGTCAGATTGCCAAAGATGCTGTTGTACTACATTGTGCAACGGATTAGCAATGGATATAAAAAATAAAGACACACTAGGCTTTCCCAAACGCCGCAAAATAGTGTCATAGTGAAGCAAAAGCTTTGATTCCTGTTCAGGTGGATGTTAAAGGTCCCATGAAACTCTTTGTAAAGAGGAGGGAGTTTCTTCCCTGGTGTCCTGGCTAACAATCTGTCCGCATAGAGAAGAAGTCAATTGCTTCATGGCCGTTAGTGGTACATTGCTGTGCGCAAATTGGCTGCTTTGTTCACCAACAAAATACGCAGTCATTACATTTTAGACACGGTAACTCTTTGAGACGTCTTCCTGACGTGTAAGGCGCTACATCAAACGTATGGATTTTTGTTTTATTTTTAAAAGTTATAGAATGTTCATGCGTTAATAGGAGTTCAGTGTTCAGACAGTTGGTGTCTTCAATGTCCGGAGCCAATTATAATATTAATAGTAATTCTTGCACCTGATATAGCGCCTTATCAGGTTGTTGAGATGTCTCAAAGCGCTGCACAGAATCTACTGTAAAAGGGAATTGACTATATATTTTGCGGGTGAAACGCAGCAGCCAATCTCGCATTTGTCATCATCAGTTAGATGGATAAGATGCAATTTGTAGGCTCATGGTTGTTTCCAAGTTTGGTTTTAAGTGCCCACCTGTGGCTGTGTTTTCAGCCACCACACCCCAAACCTCTGGAACTCCCTGATTCAATCTCTCCGCATCGCCAGCATCGATTTTCATGCAAGTTTCATATTCCATGCATTTTTTAGCCGGGTTTTGGTATTGGAAAGAAATATCCCCGGTTATCCTAGTACAGCTTGCGGTCTGGTCTTCCAGCAAATATAATTTACATTTCTTTTCCCTCTCCCCTCAGGAATCTTTTGGATAAAGACACGTTCTCCAAATCTGACCCATGTAAGTATCCAAGCTTTTTAGCTGTGACTTTAAAACTTGTTAAAAATGCTTTTCAAAATTGCCATACGCATTCGTTCAGCTGATCGAACTGATGTCTTCAAAACAGTTTAGCAACTAAAATGTATATCTCTTCAGATATGGCATGTTGCTGAATTACCTTAGATCTCTGCAAAGGTATTCTCACTGCTGTCTTGGTTTACTGGCTCTGAAGATACTTTTTTCAGAGTTGCTCCTCTGGTATATGTTCTCTTCTCTTAAAAGATGCAACTTTTTGTTTTTTTGCAGTGTGCGTTCTGTATGTCCAGGGAATAGAGACGAAACAGTGGAGGGAGGTAAGCGAGAACCGTCTCTTTATTGTTGTTGCGTTGTGCATCTCACGGTATCAATAATGATCGTGACATTTGAAATAACACATAGTCGAGACTCTTCAAAGCGCTTCACAGGATTTGCTGGGAATTGGAACGACTGTGCAGTTTGTTGGCGACTGGGGACTTTGCTGTGGGCAGACTGTCTGCTGCGTTCGCCTATAAAATACAGGTTACAGCAACTCCCGTGCTTCGAGACGTCCTCTTGATGTGATTATTATTATTACTATGCGATAAACAAACCACCTGAGGGGGCTGAAAATTTAATCTGCATTCAGGGCAGTTTCATATTGTTTGGGGCTTAGTGTTAGCTCTGTGGATGGTGGATTGAAGTCAACCCAAAATCCTTCTAACCACAGCGGGTGTAAACTATCATAAAGGAGATTAGGCAAGTGCTGGCTTATACCCCTGTGGATTTAATTAAATGGATATAATTCAATGTGAACATCAAGGAGGGTGGAGGAGGCAATGATTTAGATTTGCTGTACCTTTATTGTTGATGGAAAATAGAAGGTACATCCACATTGGGAGATATTGTTTCAACCCAGAAATCGCAGAACAACACATTGTCTTTCAAGGCAACAAATCCAATTCTCAAAAGGATTAAGCAGAGCGAGTTTTCCTGGCGGACTTATTCCCAACTCTCAAAGCTTTACTGAAATTGGGCTCCCTCCATTTCAACCTTGGCTCCCGATGATAGTTAGGCCAACTGCGTAGAGGGAATGGAGGAAATATTTGCCTGGTCCCATTCTCTGTTTGCATCGGAGTTTATCATATCCCCCATTAGTGGCATCGGTTCCTGAAGTGAATGTTCTATAGCTTTGCAGTGAAAAACAGCCTTTGATCACAAGAGAAGGAAGCATCACAAGCCAAGAGGCAGAAGTTAACCTCTTACTCTAAGCGTGACTTTTCTTCAAACAAGCTTCTCTCATAACACAGCCTTTGGTATTTTAACAGAAGATTTGTTTAAAGAAAGAGTTTATATCCACTTCTTTTAAATCGATTGCACAGTAATGGGCCAAGTTCTGTTGTAATAGGGCAACAAATCAGAGAGTATTTCAGAAGATTGCTTCAGAGAGTATATGCAGAGAGATTGGGTGATGCAGTGGGGGACATTAACCTCTTTCATCTCTGAAGCATGGATTTGAATCGAGTCTGAAGATATAGCGTGAGAATCCTTCCTCTCTCTCGTTCTCTCTTCCTCTCTTCTCTCTCTCTCTCTGATGCATCAAAAGGGTTTCAAATGTAATGACTATCAGCAGTCTCGATTGAGCTCATTGAAGAAAAACAGCGCTTTGTATCCTAATTTGGCCTCATGCACTAATTCCACACTCTAATTGTCAGTGCAGGGAATTAAAGATTCATACTCATACAATAGTGAGTGCAGTTCTAACAACTTGATCTAACATCAGTGCTCAGGGATGCACAAAAGTAAATGGAATAAGATCATAAGAATTGCTAGATGAAAGAAAACCAAGGTCCATCCAGTTCACTTTCCACCATCGTGGCAGTCGCATGTACACGTCATGTCATAAACTATATACTGTATCCCGAGATATTATTTCGTGAAAGAAATCTAACTAAAATTGCTTTTGAAAGAGTAGACACTTTCTGCTTCCACAGTCTCCTTAGCCGTACTGTTGCACTTTTATTGTCACCGTTCCAAAGGCAGAATTGGCAAAGTTTAAATTAGAAGCAAGAAATGCGAATGACAGTCTTTCACTTAATTGAAGTTGGCTGCTGTCACGTTTCGCTCACAAAATACCCAGTCAATTCACTTTACAGTCTATTCTGTGAAGAGCTTTTGAGAACATCTCGAAGACGTGATAAGGCGTTGTGTCAAATGCAAGGAATATTATTATTGTTACATATAAAAAAAATCAGACACAAGCTCTTGGGGGCCACTCGTGGACCTCTGAAATGAACAGGATGTATCGTTTAATGACATCCATTCCGTGTAGAATGTTTGTGACTGATGTTGTCAAAATGCGGAGTTACACTGACTCCCATGCTGGGAACTGAATGCAATCGCTGTCTGCAATCACTGGGCACAGATCATTTGCCAGGGTTGTAATGGCAGTGCAGATGCATTAGATCTGCCTCCCAGCTGCATACCCTATAGGAGGGTTCAGCCGTGTCTCTCCCCCCCTTGTCACATAGGCTTTGCGTGAATTGAAAGTGTATCGCAAGAAGAAACTGAGCCTGCAGCTGTTCTGACAGTGACTCAAGATCTTAATTACTTCTCAACCCTGAAACACAAAGGAAAGATCAGCGGTTAGTATGCAGATGTGACTGTATACGAGAGAGGATTAGTCAGTGGGGAGACTTGCGTAATCAATTTCACATCCCTTCAATCTATTCTGCTTCTGACATGGTTTATTTTTTGGATGTGTGGAGCGGGGAGGGGAGGAGGTGGTGTGGGTCGGGGGAGACAAGAGTTGAGGGTTGGTATCTGTGAATATTTTACACGGTGAAATGTTTTGTATGAGGTCTGTTGCCAAGGCAATTCTACTAGTGGGTCATTCCCTGTTGCGACAGGGATTTTTTTTTGTTTACTCTTTGGCGCAGTTATAGTACCGGAGGTTCAGAAATACGCTACTCTCACACACTCACGATTTAAAAATGTCAGTGGCTGCTCCTGAAATCATGATTTCCTATGTTTTTTGTCAATGTGCATTACAGATTCATTGCACTTCACCAAATGGGAACCTGGACCCTGGTTGATCAATGTAGTGAAAACTTTAAAAGAAAGGGTACTAAATAATTAATAATACAGCAACTTGCATTTATATAGCACCTTTCACAAAGGAGAATGTCTTGGAGCTACTCTTAATGAATGTGGTGCGATGTTGGATCCCCTGCACCCACATTAAGAAATAGATAGACATAGATTTGTTAGTTCAAGGTATTCGGGGATATGGGGCAAAGGGGGGTAACTGGATTTGAGTTACAGATTAGCCATGATCTTATAAAATGGCGAAAGAGGCTCGAGTGGCTGAATAGCCTACACCTGTCTTCTATGTTTCTATGTTTCTATGCCCAGATAGGTGACGTGACTAGGTGAGGTGGAAGAGTTAGGTTTAAACGTGGGGTTTAAAGTCAGACCAGGAGCGAGAGACTGAGGGATGGAGGCATAGAGATCCAAAGGTGAAAGGGATAGTGATTGAAATAATCCTCTCATTTGAAGGAGTGCTTGATCGTGGGCTGGGAGGATGGTAGGATGGGAATTCAGAAAGGATGAGATCAAATGGAATGAAAAGTCTTCTTATCGCGAACCAACCTTGTGAAAGATCTCTTGATCTTGTCCTCTTTAAGCCTTCCATTTTGGCGCTGTGGCAAAAGTACGAGGCAATAAAAATGGATTAAATTATGGGTTTGGGTGCTACCGAATTTTACTAAGTCATAGACTTTGGTATTAACATGTTGATGTATAATAATAACATTGTCTCTTAATTACTTTCCCTTTCCCCTGGCTCCCCCGGGCGTCTGTGTGGAGACTATAAGCATTCTTGTAAATTACTATCTGGGTCTCTGTGTGAAGATGGTACATTGATGGTGATTTCCCTGCTTGGATCTCAGATTTGTTTTATAACCTGCTCAGCTGAAGTCTCTCTGCAGATTTAGAGCAGCAATAATAAAGCTGTCTTTGGCTACGTTCCTTGAGAGCCCACCAGAGGCACTGAAACGAATGGAAAATCTTGGAACCAAAACAAAAACCTGAAACCCCTTAAAAACAATGTAATCAAATACAAATAATGGACTTGTGCTCGTGCTGTAAGCTATAATTGAGCTCAACTGTTTTGATTGATTTAACCTAGGTGGTCTCTGTCAATCAACTTTGCTCCATTATATAACCTATTGCACGTTTTATTGCTTCTCAGTGAGCGCTGTTAAATGCGCTCGGTCAAAGGTTGATGCAGCCAAACCCACATTAAAGGTGGCATATATGTAAAATAGCCAGTGACAGATCTAAAAACGTTAGTTTCGGAGGAACTTGTTCATGTAGAGGGTGGTGAGATTGTGGACCTCGCTGCCAGAGCCTGTGGTTGAAGCAAAAAAAAAGCATCAAAGAATTTTAAGAGGAAGTGTGTATGAAGGAGAAGGGAAGAGGTGACAAGATCAGTTTGGATGAAGAAGGCTCTTCGGTCTGTCTGATTTCATCCCTCCAGAATATCTACCCAACCATCCTCCCAACACAGTATCAAGATACTTGTTAAATGAGTCCTGATCTAATCACCGGCACAGACTAGTTGGGCCAAACGGCCTGTTTCTGTGCTATGTCACTCTACGTAACTACCATGTTCACAAGTTTGAACTATAAAGCTCGTATAAATCATTTCAGGTACACATGTACTACCGGTTGGATGTATGTACACCACAGAAGATTTGACATTTGGTAATTACGGTACAGTATATATTTACTTGACACCAATGCAAACAGTGTCAATTTTATTCAAATATTTATCTGTCCAAATCCCCGTATGCTTCAAATAATCAAATGCTTTACTCAGGAATTTGACGCTGATAAACAATAGATTAAAAAAACACAATTAAATCCTGTGTATTTTGCTGAATTCAGGAAATAAGACATGTTCCAATCTTATCCATTGTAATTTTTCCCTCTTTATGTGGCTCTCAACTGTTTTAGCCATAATAATTTAAATACTGACAGGCTAAAGGAAATGAGGTTGAACATATATAATTCACCACTTGGTTCGAATTAATAATTAAACATTATTAAGATTTTTGAATAACTTTTTTAGTTGATTTAAAATTCACTTTTTCCATCCTTACTTTTTTTATAAACATGAATCTCATAAATCTAACGCCATCGTTCATGAATTTTTTCGGCATTGTGTTCTACCTATATGCTCATTCAATGTCAGCTATGGAAATTGACCTTACGCACCTCTGATAGAATATGTATTTTCTCCCCTCCAAGAGCAATAATATCTAAGAAATCCTTCAAATGAGACATTAAACTGAGTTCCCATCTGCCTGTTCAGGTGGATGTCAAAGATCCTATGGCACTATTCGAAAAGAGAAGGGAATTTCTCCCAGTGTCCTGGCCAAATAAAATTGGTCACTCACTCCATGGCTGTTTGTGGGACATTGCTGTGTGCAATTGTGCTGCCGAGTTTGCCTACCAATATACAGTCACTCCATTTCACAGTAAATTCTGTGAAGCGCTTTGAGACTTACTTGGGATATGATAAGGCGCTACACCAAATGCAAGGATTACTGTACGGAATATGTGGTCCATAGACTTTTCCAGAGACACTTTGTAAACAGAACTGTGTTCAATTATTTTTGTTATGGTTTGGGTGATTCGCTGAGCCTTCAACTAAATGCTGCGATCTAAAGTCTTGGAGCCACCTGATACTCGCTCCACACTCCTTTGACTGTTCGGGCGGACATTAAAGATCTCACGGCACTGTTTTTGAAATACATTCATAATAATTCATGGGATTAATATGCGCAGACAAAACAAAAAGTATTTTTAGCCACAAATATCGCAAGTCAACCTTTGATTCAGTGTTAATTCTGCAGCAAAAAGGATAGTTTAAATCATCACAAATCACCGCAATGCTGGAAGCGATATTATTGTTCCTCAGCATTGTGAATGAAGCATTAGTTATTAAGCTGAAAGCTTGGTTGAGTAATTCCTTTTCAAAGTAAAATTCTCTACTGCTGAGGTAAAAAACAAACCAAAATTAATATGTGGCGTGACTAATGTTGATGAGTCTAGCCTTTGGATGCCCATACAAAACCACATAACGTCCCTTTAATAGAGCTTGTTATTTTTTTCCTACAAGAAAGGAACCCTAAGCAATGCATGTGATGTGTTCCATCAGAGATGCAGAGTTTAGTGTAATAATGTCTGTTCTCAAAGGAATAATGGGCCTGGATTTAACTTGTTTGACCGTCTAACTGATCTGTCCATCGAACCAATCAACATTTTTGACAATTCCATTTAATTTAAAGATGATTTTATCATTAGAACTGGTGACGGCAAATATATAGTTTTTTTGTATAAAAAAACAACGCAGATGACATTAACATTTTATAGACAATCAGTAATTGAAGTCCAGTTGATATATTTAGAATATTTGCAATGCTAATTGGGCATAATGTGAGCAGCTTTCAAGTCTACCTATTAATTCAAACACCAGAGGTGATTAATGACATAGAATTAGTAACTGCATAATTGATGGATTTAGCGCTTAATCATGTGTAATTATAAATGCACCTGATTCAAGCTTGCCCCATGAATCCAATTCCTCCTTTGGTTGAGTGTTCACTCTGCCCCAAGCCGTTGATAGTAATGACAGAGTAATAGCCACTGGAGGACGCCTGTGGGGAATGAAAGTAGTCTAAGGTACATCAGAGAAACTTGGACTATCTGGGACTTTATTGCTTTGTGGAATCAACATTTTATTTCCCAATATACTGCTTATAAGGTAAAAAGCAGGCAGTCAAAGATACCTCCGGCTACTTGGCTCATCTTTCTTTAGTTGTGCTGTTCCATGGTTACTGACAGTGATCACTTGAGAGGCTCATTCAAGCCTTTGAACTCACAGTCTGGGCTGACTCTTGGATCCAGTGTTGGTGGAGTGCTTTTGTTGGAGGTGATGTCCTTCAGATGAGACCAAGGTCCTGTTTTGCTTGTTCAGTTGACATTGAAACCTGCAGCATCACAGAGTTTCTGCTGGTGTCCTGGCCAGTAATGCCACAGATCAAACTGATTTTTTTTACTTCACGGCTATTTGTGCAAATTGGCTGTCGCGTTTCATCGACAAAATACACAGTCTGAACAAAATGCCCGTCTTTCATTTTCTACGTAGGAAGCAGGTCTTTCACATTGTTCAGACACTCGTGTACGAGGTGACAATGTTTACCACGACAAACTCCACGCACAGATGGTTGAAACCTGTGAGAACAAATCCTATAACAAAATCCTTTAACTGGGAAGCAAACAGACGTTTAGTGATCAGACCACATAGTGGGGTGAAAAGTGCTACTTTTCATGTGATAATGATTGCACGAAAATCATTTTCTCCCCAGTCTTTATGACAGCTGTCATATAATATCTACGGTTCCATTATTTGATTGTGTGCCAGCCCATTGCCCTGCCCTATCCCTAGACCCCTTTAAGCCTCTATCATATATATACCTGCCTAGTTCCGTCTTGAAATCCACAATAGAAATATCATTATACTAATGATACTTCTATTATATTAATAATAATATACTAATAATAATCATCCTTATATCGGTATGAAACTTCATGGCTGTTTGTAGGCTGTGCGCAAATGGGTTGCTGTGTTCGCCTACAAAATACATAGTTACTACCCTTGACAGTAAAAGTCCTGTGAAGCTTTGTGATGATGTTATAAGGTGCAGTATGAGCTGTGAGGTTAAAAAAAATTCTGCAATATAGGACTGTCTCATTGTAACAGCCATCATCAGTGTTGTTAAGCAGGGCATAGAGGGGAGGGAGATGAAAAAGGTTGGGGTGGTTAGTGTTTTGGTGCAAGTACTCATGGAAAAAATAGTTTTTAAAAACATTTCCTCAGCAGGGGTGAGGACGAGCCTTTTAAAGAAAAAGAAGATTTTTGCTTTATAAAATAAGGACTAGGGGGCATCAGGCTCTAACAAAAGTGATCGTCAACTGTTCCCAAACCTCTGTGGACTGTCAGACATAAATAATTAATGTTGGTAGCATACGATTGTTTTATAGTTTCCTGCTTAGAATTTCACATCTTGCGAGTTATGGGTGCACATTGCAAAGTAGCGCATAAATTTTTACTATCGCTGATTACACTATTGATGAGACCTGATTGCTTATGTTATTTTCACCCAATATAATAGTGGCGCCAGAGATGTTGAATTGCCTTCGTATTGATAAATGCACATTGGACTCGGCTGAAGTTGATTTTTTTTTTACCATTTTAAAATGGGGAGGTGTATCCCTTTGATAAATCTGTCACAAGCACAGTGTTGAAGCTCTGTAACAGTGCGACTTGTATGAGTGACATTGATTTGATATCATCAATGTGGGTGAAACTGGACTGTGGGTGGAACTAGTCGCATTGCTACAATCAACGTAATTGATTGTAGCAATGTGTCTTCAGTTATCAAATTGGTAGATCCCACACACTGGACATCTCATATTATAATATAATATACATAAATACATAATATATATGTATTTAGAATATACATACACAAGATGACTCTATTTTTAATGTGCCTTCCTTTTGTACCAGTTTGGTAAAAACACTTGGGGTTGCTGGTTCTCTGATTGTCCAGCGCCTTGGGACATCCCCCCGAAGTGAAAGGCGCTATACAAATGTAATTTTGTTGTTGTTGTTATTGTTGTTGTTAATTGCACAGGAAATGACGCTTCCTGAAAGGACATCAGCGGCAGCCATTTCCTTTTAGAGAATCCTTCTTACGAACCGTGCACATTCGGTAGCAAACAAGAATTAACATGGTGTTAGCCATTTGGGGTTTATGGATTCAAAAGTAATTGTAGCCAGCAACAGCCTAGCCTCCCCCTTCCTTCCAAGTTGATCTGCCATTTCAAGCCTTCTCTGCCTTCCTAATTTTGTAGCACAAATATGATCTGTGCTCAGCACAACATTCATATGCTATTTATTATTTTGTTTGTTTGGCAAGAGTCAAGGCTTGGGGACCCCGGAGTACTCTTTGGGGGTAACTTGTGTCGTTTAATCAGCTAAGACCGCACATGTTCAAAGCTGCGTCGTTGCTGTCTGAGAGCTATCTACAAAGGATAAGAGGTTCCATCTGAAACCTTAGTGTTGAATAATAAATACCTTCATTAAAGCCAATCCAGGCTGCGAGTTGAAAACTAATGGTTCTACATTTGCACCATCCAGAGTGGAAAATACGACCTAACTGCACTTGATTGTTTGCCAGCCAGCTAAATTAACTTGTTTTACATTTAATTCAGTTCTGAATTTGTTGAGACATTTCATCAAGAGGCAGAAAATCAGGAGTGAAATGAACAATAGTAATATGGCTAATGCCTGATTTTTCAGGACCATTTCCATCCAAAAAAAAATAAAATCACTCAAGTTCCTTAACCAGCCCAAGGCTCTTCAGTCAGAGGGTAATTAGCGACTGGAAGAGATTGCAAGTAAATGTGGTAGAGGCCAGGACACTGGACTCATTTAAAAATCAGCTTGATTCTAATGGTAGGGGGAGAGAGGAGGAAGGATGGTTGAGATTAGGTGGGCCAAAGGGCCTTCTTCATCTGAACCAATCTTGTGATCTTTCCTATTGATTCAAGAGAATTTATTGAAGGAAAGGAGCAAGTTCTTTGCCAGTATCCTTCCTCGCCTACATTCAACAAAAGATGTTACAAACGGTGTTCATTCGTCTCATTGTGCTTGATAGGAGGTTGTTGGCACAGTTTAGCTGCCCTGTGTTTCCTCTATTCTATCACCAAACATCAAATAACTCATTGTGTGAGAAGTGCTTTCAAAACTTTCTTTGTTGAATGGTATTATTATTACTGCAAAAACTCAAGGAGATACTTTAGCACCAGGTAGATAGTTGTACCATATCTTTTATTGACTGCTATGTTGGCCTACAAATGCACAGTCACTGCATTTCACTGTGAAATCCTGTGAAGCACTTTGAGATGTCTCGACGACGTGATAAGGCTCAATATCAAATGCAAGGATTATTGTTTACTGATACGCCAGTTTAGTCGGGTGTGATATGTGCGATATCGCTTGTAAAATGTGAGCAGAGATATTAACACTGGTTCCAATTCACTTTCAGTTTGGAAGAACAGAAGTGATCGACAACACCTTAAATCCAGACTTTGTGCGGAAGTTTGTCCTAGATTACTTCTTTGAGGAACGGCAGAATCTGCGAATTGATTTGTAAGTTGCTTCTTATCCTGTATTGACTTGAAGGTGAATATTTTTGCTGTGTGTTGTGTGTATTTGTGTACGGGTGGGGTGGGGTGTGAAGAGTGACTGAGAGAGATCAGCTTGGTAACACTCTTTGAACCGTTTCACAACTCTTAGGGGGATATTCCAATCTGCGACAGGATTTACTTTTTACACGGTGTTTCAGAGTGTCCAGGATTTAGCAAGTTATTGGACTATAAACCAAAATGCCCACACTCAGCGCAATTAATCCTTTTTTTATGAAAAAAAGACATCAAGCGTTTTTGCGTTGTAATAGACAATATAGCAAAGTTCGAATGCTATTTTTTTTCTAAAGACTTGATCGTTCTCTTGTAACAAGCCTGCAACGCTACTGCAGTATTCATCATGTTGTATCCAAAGCAGATGAATATGAACTACGAATATGTAATCGTAGCTTTTATTTCTCTCTCTCTCTGTGTCTCTCTCCAAAGCGAAATGGATTTAAATTGAATTCTCTTTGATATGCAATGTCCCTGGAAGACATCGAAAGTGTTCAGCCGACTCCATAGAATGTGTAGCTCCCTCTTTATTTCTCTTTGTACTGTTATCTTGGCCGTTATATATTTCATACATTTCTGCTGAGACTGTAGTGCACCAAATAAGAAAATCTAAAAGCAGATGAGGTGCATTGTTAAACGGATTAGTTTATGAATTCCTTCACAGCTGCTTCTAACGTTCTCTCATCATCATCCAGTAATGACTTGTGATGCTTTTATCATAAGGCTTCAGGTTCTGTCTCCACAGAAAGATATCTTCAATCGATGGCCTACTTACTGGGCGCTGCCAGAGCCAGACTCTACGGAGCTCTCAATTAATGCCCGTGTGTTCCGTAATGCATGGGTTATAATAATCCTTGTGTTTAATACAGTGCCTTTTACATCCGGAGGACATCTTGCAATGCTACTGCAAAGAGTAGTGACTGAATTTGCAGGAAAACATGGCAGCTAATTTGCACACAATTACGTCCCACTAAGTGATTGAGCGATTTTATCTGAGGGATTGTTGGCTGGGACACGGGGAGGAATTCCTACCTGATAAACATTGCGGTAGCACCGAGTCGATATTAATTCCCTTTCCCATTAAGATTCCATGTCATTTCAGGCGGGCAAAAGCCTTTTTTAATTTTCATTAATACACCTTTTAAAGTGTACTAATGAACGGTGCTGTTTGACAATGAGCATCTGTAACCTTTTGTGGAATTTGTAGGTAAAGAGATGCTGTTTAATGAGGATTTTAATTAAAGTCATTTAGAAGAAAACAAAACGTGTCAATAACAAAATAGTGGACCTGAAGCCTAATTACACAGCGGTGCTGACAAATACTTGTGGTTTTCTCTCTTGTAGCTTAGAGCTTCAAGTCAATTAGTGTGATTTGTGACAATTCAGGTACCCAGGAGATACGAGTCCAGAGCAAAGATGCCCTCAATATCATCAGTCATTCCTCCTGGCATCATTCCAATAATTACACTCTCTCAAATTCCCCACTTTCTCGGTGACAAAGTAGGGATGCTCCTTGTTGAGATGATACTCTGTGGTCCCTCAGCCTTAGCTCTTTCCAACCTGAGCCTAATACTCTCCAGATTTAGGTAAGCACATTGAGGCCTTCTGGGATGAGTGTGCACAATCCATTCGAGACACAGGAGTTTCCGAGTGTAGCTGACACATGTAGAACTCTTGTCTGGTTTGGAGACTCTTAATCTTGGTGAATGTGTCAGACACTCGGCTGACCAAAGCAAATTGAGATGAACTAGCACAAAGGATCAGTCTTACAGTCGTTCGCCTGACCTTGAATGTTTGGTATCACTTCTGCGTGATTATGCCATTGCTAAAATCCTATCCTTTTGATGTGAGAAAGACCGACCAAAGACATGTGGGTGTCAGCATGGCTCAGTCGGTAGCACTCCCGACTCTGAGTCAGAAGGTCGCTGGGTTAAAGTCCCACACCAGGACTTTGAACTCGCATGTTCTAAGCTGAAACTCCATTGCAATGCTGGGGATGCCCGAAAACCTGGTCAAAGAGGTAGCTGTTAAGGCGGACTGTAAAAGCGGAAAGGAAGCAGGTGGGGCGGAAGGGCTCCAGGATGGATTCCAGAGAAATCTCAAGATCCCATCTGCCCATTCAGGTGGAAATTAATGATTGCTGGCATTTTTCCAGAGATGAGCAGAGAGTTCCTTTGGTGTCCCATCAATATTTCTCCTCCATCGAATTTCACAGATAAATAAAGATGAATTATTTTACTGTGTGTGTGGGAAGCTGCCGACACAGATTAACGACTGTTTGCCTGGGGATCTGTCAACCCACTTTTCAAAAGAATATTTAATATAAAGCACTTTGAGACGTTTGAACGTACAAAATCAAAGGCAAGAATTTATTATTTATTATCGTGGAGGTGGAAGAGAAACATTCATAGGTGCCTGAAAAGTGTTGCAAAGCAAGTTTCTCCAGCTGATCAGAAACCTGACTGGTAACGTTTATCATGAAGGCATTAAAGGCACCGTTGCATGTAAACATGCGTCAAAAAAATTGCTTCCAAGCACCACCACCACTATGCACGTGTGTCTGCGTTGCAACGTGGGTTAAGAGACCAGAATATTTCATCCATTTAAGTGTTCATTCAATCAGTGATGCCCCATGTCGTGTTGTACGAGTTAAATTTTGCAGCGAATTCAATTCATCAACCTGTAAATGGGTTGCAGTATTCACAAGACACATGGAATTATCTCTGTCCTCTTGTGTTGAAAATCTCATGATCTGGTTTCAGGAGGTGACATGCACAATAACACAGGGTGTCTGGTAATCAGATGCCTGGTTTCTGCTACGTATTGTACCAAAGCTGTTTAAGGTTATAAATTCAGCCTTTATTAAGCAGCATTTCTTGAACAGCCTCAAACCAATGTGGCTTGTTTGTAGTTTATTTTACTATCTTGTGCCAGAGGGCGTTGCTTTAATTTAATTTGAGCTCTGGGTTTCAGTAATGATCCGAGTGTAAATAAAAGCGTTCACATGTTAAAAAATGTTCACATCCTTTGCATTATTAAAGGTTCATGAGCAGATTCCAGCACTTTGAAGAGCGTAAATGGCATTTTTACATTGAGCCCAGACATAATACTAGATTCAGAGTGTTTAATTTTCTTTTGAGACTTCCATTAGTGTCCAGGTCTATAAGGCTTGTGTTTTAAAGTTCAATGCCCTATGATGTTTCTAGCTTGTTTAATTGGGTGCAAAATTACAGACGTTTACAATAGATGTGTGTAATTCTGTCATTTCATTTTGCCTCTCACTCTCAACACGTCCTCGAGCCTTACATTTCATGCCTTAACAAGTGCATCTCGTCATTATCTTCTGTCGAGAATTGTCTACGATAATTCACTAATGTTTAAATAATTGTGCAATTGCTTGAATGCGGTACAAAGACAATGTCCACAAGCTTAGTACATGCTAGCGTGAATAATGCATGACTTTGTGGGTTAGGGTAGTCGGGATGGGCGTGGGTGATACTCCCAAAGTTATTTCTGCAATAGCAATAATTAATACAATGCAATGAACAGTATAGCAATGGAAATACTGCACATTCTGAGGACTATTTGAGATACTTGAAAGTGATGATATTAAAAATAATCTTTGCATTTGCTATAGCGCCTTATCATGTCATCAGAACATCTCAAAGCATTTCGTGGGATTTACTTCACAGGATTTACTGTGAAGTATATTGACTGTGGATTTGTGGATTTTTAAACATCCCGTGATACTATTTTAAAAAAATGGAAGAGTTTTTCCTGGTGTCCGAACCAATAATCCTCCAGATAAAGTTTATCGTTCGCTTCATGGCTTTGACGGCCACATTCACCTACAATTGCACAGTCCCTACACTTTACAGTAAAATCTGTGAAGCGCTTTTGAGCCGTTTCAATGAAGTGATAAGATGCGATATCAAATGCAAGGTTGATTATTATTAATAAAATCTTGTACCACAATGATTGCACACGAATTATAGAGCTGCAATCTGCAGTTTCCTTCAGTTTGCATGAAGTAAACCAATACTCCATGAGGAAATAACACTGACTGACGAGGCACATATTAATTATTTATGATTATTATTTTAAACTGTTGCTTCCAATCTATCAGTCATGAATAATACAATAATCTTTACATTTGATATTGTGCCCAGAATGTAAAAACACCTCAAAGTGCTTAACATGCAATTGTTATAAAATCTTTATAGGCTGTATGTAGTGCACCAAATTCCAAACTCACCCTTTCCCAGTCCCCATTAGGTTCCATTGGCTCCCAGTGGATCAATTAGAAGTACCTCATTCATAAATCCCTACATACCCTGGCATCTCCCTGCCTCTTCTGATCTTCTCCTACCCCACTCCTTTGCTCACTCTCTCAGCTCACCTAACTCTCACTGCTCAATCCCCCACCCTCTCCATGCCACGCTATCTCACCCCATCTTTATTTGTCTGAGTCCTGCCTTAAAATCCACCTCTTCAATTGCTCCGATGTCCACCTTCCCTTCTTCTTTTCTCAATGTCTGACCCCTTTATTGCGCTGCGCTCTGAAACATTATCCTGTTTGAAGGATGCTAAATCCACATTGTTTTTGTTCTAGACAGATTTGGCATTAGGCAATTTGGCATCAAATTTGTACACAACAATGTCTGAACTAAACAAAACAGTTTTCTGTAGAGCTAACAGCTCTTTACTTTTCCTTGCAGGTACGATGTTGATTCTAAGAGCCCAGACTTATCTAAGCATGTAAGTATAATTTTTCGCACTTTTGGAAGACTCATTTCAATTTTAATTTGTTATTATACCCAGTTTGGTATATTCAATAAATCTTTCCCCCAAGGTTTTCTCACTTGTTCTTGCCCTTACTTAAGGAATACGGAATACAAATGCAAGTCATTACTGCTGTTCTTGTTGTGCTGTCATTATAATCATAATTCTCAGAATGCAAGTGCCAATCAGTGAATTCCACTTACTTGTTCAACGCATGTTAAATGGAGAAACTAACTTTGTGTTCTCTCCTGTTTTAGGATTTTTTGGGACAGACATTCTGTACCCTGGGAGAGATTGTGGGTTCCCCAGCCAGTCGACTGGAGAAACCGTTAATGTAAGTGGAAACAGTCGCTTGGAAATGATTTTGAACAGATACGTAAAAAAAAATTAAAAATTAAGTTTGCTGTCATAAAGTTCAGCGAGTTTTGTGCCAAGTTCAGAAGAAATCTAGTGCAGTGAAGGTGTGAGGGCCAATAATAATCATAAACCAAGGTAAAATTCCACAGAATACTGTGTACTAATAGAATTGGATGCTGTGATGGACTGATGATAGACCTTGCATTTATATTGCACCTTTCACATCGAGATGACGCCTCGATACGCTTCACAGGATATACTGTAAAGTGTAGTGACCGTGTACCTTGAGGTAGGTAACATCTTGGAGGACTTAAAGGGGAAGGAAATGACCAATTTTATTTGGGGGATTGTTGGTCAGGTCAAAGAGACTGTGCAAGTCTTCAACGATTTGTTTAAGTTCAAAGCCTGGGAGGTTCAACTCCTTTGCACTGCACTTTCCTGGTCACTGTAAGTGAGAATATAATTCAATTCCTGCATTCAGATGTGGATCTGGTGTGTTGCCATATCTACGTTTGACAGACGCCAGGACTTGAAATCGCCTGAACGCATGCAGAGGTAAAATGACGGATGACGCAGAATTTCAGGATTTTAAAAAAAAAAAGGAAATTGTTGAAATGGAACCTTCTGCCTATAAAGCATTCAGATTCCCACAATCTAACGATCCTCTATCCGTAGAGAATTTCTCTGGCTGCTCAAGGTAGTAATTGTAGCTTCAGCAGAACGAGAATAATCTGAAATCTTGGAATAATGATCAGCTTTACTCTAGAGGGTTTGTTGGAGGGAATGTATGATTTACTTTAAAATCCTTTAAAAGGCCTTTAAAACCCGCCATGTATTTAATTCATGCAAATTTATTTAACATGATAAATCGAGCTTTACAGCTGATAATGTAAACCTCTGAACAAAAATGTTAAAAACGACCAAATGTGTACAGTACTTCGTCGGGGAAGGTTTTTTTTTACTAAATATTACAGAAAGAACATACATTAATCTAAGTCTTGACGGGAGGATGACTGATTGTATTTGAAATAGCTTATTGTGCTATTATGGAGGTGAGAAAGACAAAATGTGTAGAGCAAGTCAGTCCCACCTTAAAGATTTTGATACTGACTCAAACATTTCCTTAGTTTACAGATACAAAACATCTAATGTCACAATTAACTTTTCAGCTCAATTACAACCCCCTGTATTTTCTTTCCTCATTTACTGCAATCACACGTATACACTCTGGTTCACTTTCCCCCCCAGAGCAGCACTTCTAAGCAACTGACTTGACCCAAGGTGCTTGTGATGTGATATTCTGTTGCTTTTGGTCAAACCATTCCCATTGAATTGCTTTCTCTGCCGGGCTCGTCCACCCAGAAACTCTTGCAAGAATGTACCTAGTGCCATCTGGTCTTTGGCCTCACATCTAATTGACTGGTAACACCTTTGACACCAACCTGCCCAAAATGTCCATTTCTTGTTTGGATCACCTACAAAATACACGGTCACTACACTTTACAGGATATCCTGTGAAGCACTTTGAGGCATCCTCCTGGCACGAATAATAATAATAATCCTTGCATTTGATATAGCGCTTTTCACGTCGGGAGGACGTCCCAAAGCGCTTCACAGAACACACTGTAAAGTGAATTGACTGTATATTTGTGGGCGAACGCAGCAGCCAATTGCGCACAGCAATGTCCCACAAACAGTCGTAGATTGAAAATGACCAATTTATTATTGTTTTTTGTTTTGGAGGGATTATTATTAGGCGTGAGGAGTAAGGAAACTTGCCCAAGGTTTCGAAAAGGTGCTATATGAAATGCAAGGATTATTATTATTTGTTATGGCACTCATTGATATGTTCCTGGAAACTAATCAGTATGAATTTTTACTTCTCGCAAAGGGAAGAGTATTCCTCCTGGTTTCCTGGCTGACAGTCCTACAGATAAATTGACCGTTTACTTCATAGATGTTTGTAGGATATTCATGTGTGTAAATTGGCTGCCGGATTTACTTAAAGATTTGCCCAAAAGTTGCAATCGAAAATCACGCCAAAGGGAATTAACAGGAAATAGAACCTTAATAGTTTCACATTGAATTTCTGATTTAACTGCAATTCACAGCAATTTCTGAGTTAATGCCAGACTGGTAGCACTTTACTGCTATTACGCTAATCAACATTAAAAGGACTTGCTGCTCAAATGTGTTTGCTTCAGCCTGAAATCTGAAAGGAGACGTGGTTTGGATAAGCATTAAATTCAGGCTTAGGTTTCAGACTGCACCATTAGATGTCACTCATTGATTGATTGATTGATTGATTGATTGATTCATACATACATACATACATACATACATACATACATACATACATACATACATACATACATACATACATACATACATACATACATACATACATACATACATACATACATACATACATACATACATACATACATACATACATACATACATACATACATACATACACACGGCAACTGTTTAATGAGAGTTACTTTAAGAAACTTGTAAGTGTAGTTATGGATTGCTTTGCGATGTCAGAGTGAGAGTCTTTGATCTGATCGCACGTTGACTAAGATCGGAAATCTTCCAGTTAGTATCCCTGAGGGAGGAGAGGAATGAAGAGAGAATGAGCCCTGAGGAAGAGAGAGGTGGCAAACGGTCCCGTTGACTGAAATCCCAGCTTGTCTTAGCCTGTAAGATCATTTTGTCTTGTATTTAAAGGTTGGCCAGCATTGTGGCAAATTCTTCGGTTCAGCACTAATTTCGAGGCTGTTTTTCACCACTGTTACTAATAAGACCAAGTTTCCTAATTAAAATGAAATGACAAACTTTGCGACATTAAATTTTAAGACAAGATAACCAGACAGGCTAAAACCTTACATCTCACTCACAATGCGAAAGTAAATTGTCCTACAAAGGAAAAGGATGCAAATAAAGTCTCCTCAAACAAAAAAATTGGTATTGAAAAGTTTAAACAATAATAATCCTTGCTTTTGATAGTGTGCCTTTCGCACAAGGAGCACTCCTATGATTTAAACTGTAAAGTGTAGTGACTGTGTATTCGTAGGTGAATGTGGCAACCAACGTGTGAACAACAATGTCCCACAAATTGCCATGATATGACTGACCAATTTTATCTGAGAGATTGTTGTCCAGGACACCGAAAGAAACTCACTTTTCTTTTCGGGTCCGAACTATGGGATCTTTAACTCCCACGTGAACAGGCACAGATCAGATGGATGTGTATTGGAGAGGTGTTTTAAGAACATCTTTAGGCTGAATTCCCAAATCCATGTAAGAACAATTTCAATTAGCGGCACGTTTCCATAGCAATTTGTCACTGAAGGGTAGTCAGCGAGTGCGGTAGCACTTTGGGAAAGGAATGTTTGTACATGATGTGTCGTGTCAAATGTGATCACAATTTCTTCTACCCTGCAGTGACAAATCACTTTACTTAATAGAATATTCATTCTTGTGTGTAGAAAATCTGTCAAATTATAGAAACTTGGTTATTTCCTGCTGCAGGAATGTAAGCAAATGTGTTTCATTCCAGAGGTCATATCCCACTCCCCAGGGTTAGTTGTGTTATGTTCCATCAGTTCTTATCCAGCCTGCTAGGTTGGCTGCTTCACCAGGACAAAATAAAATACCAGTGGGAGGGCAAAATAAAATACCACTGCCCAGTTTGTCCCACTGTTACGATTGCAGAGGAGTGTTGTAATATAAAAGCAACATTTTGCCCAGAGAGTTGTTACGGTCTGGAATTCACCACCAGAAAGGGTGCCTGAGGAGGATTCAACAGTAACGTTCAAAAGGGAATTGGATCGGTACATAAAATTGAAAAATTTGCAGGGCTACGGGAAGAGAGCGGGGGAGTGCGATTAGTCAGCAGCTCTTTCAAAGAGAGCCGTCATAGGCTCGAACGGCCTCCTTCTGTGCTGTAAGATTCTACACTTCTCTGGAAAGGATTCAAAAATCAAAAGTAATATCCAGTGTCAAATGCCTTTCTAGTCCAGCCGTTTTTACTTAAGTAAAAATTCCAGACAATTAGGTGTCTGACGCACGCGGGAAACCATCACCGTACCTCTGTCTAGAGTATCTAAACCAGACTGGAAATTTCCCTGAGCCGGGCATAGAACACGCATAGAATGCGAATGGAACTTAGTTTGAATGTCTACCACTGCATTGCTCTGTGAGGGCGTATATGTGTGTGTGTGTTGTTTTTAAACCAGTTATTTGTACACCTTGATATTTTCACTTAAGCTTCACAAGTCTGGTGAAGGGGCAGGTAAACGGGACTGACTGAAAGGATCGCTCTTACAGAAGCCAGCACGGACACGATGTGCCAAAAGGGTTGCTTTTAATGCTGTAAATATCAATAGCATTTTGCCCTCAAAATGCACAGTCATTTCACTTCACAGTATATTCTGCGAAGCGCTTTGAGGCGTCTCGAAGACGTGCTAAGGAGCTGCATCAAACTCAAGGATTATTATTATTAATTACCGATGCGATTGTTGCAGAGAGAGTACCGACATGTACACAGGGAGAATACTTAGTTGTACGTGAATCTTTAATTCCCTTTTAAAAAGAGAATAGAAAGTGATAGAAGGTTTAAAAACAAACCGTTACAGCACAAAATCCCATTTCTCTTTTTTTTTAAAAATATTCTTTGTGAGACTAACTGAATATTTCAGAGCATTCATAATAATACGTTCACAGCAAGGCTTCCGCTTTCCGCCAACTTCATCCTGCTTTCTAATCGCCAACATCAGTACCAATGCCCTTCAGGGTACAAGGAAAAGCACTTGATTTCTGTGATCTCCCTACCACATCTTACGACTGATGAGTATCATAACATGTTAGAAGCTGTCTTCTCCAGCAGCTGCTGTTTCCTGTTAAATATCATATTATTCCAATGAAATCCACAATGCTGTAAATTAAATGGAGTACAGTGAGTGTTGTCGC